TTTTGGACAGCAAATATTCAGTACAGGTAGCAAAGACGATCCTTTTTGCAGTCTTTAAGCCGACCAATAAGCCAATTGGCCAGATGTTCACAACATGTAAAGAACTAACTGAGAACAGAAAACACCCATGGTATATCTCACACGTAAGATCACATACTGGGTTACCTGGCTTTATTTTCCAAGGCAACAAAAAAGGTTGTTTTATCTCCTGCAACATGGCTTCCATTGGACACCTAGAACAAGCCCATATTCTACACCAAAAATTTCATATGTCAGCAAGCAACATAAAATTGCTTTTCCTGGAGCTAACAATGAGGCAGTGAAAACACCTAGTACGCTCTTGCAAGAATTGTGCCCCCCCACCCCGTTAGGCCCACTGCAACAAGCAGGAGTGAACCTGTGAGGGCTTGCTCCTAATAAGCTCTGGCAAGTGGACATCACCTCCATTAGCTCCTTTGGTAAACTTAAGTTTGTCCATGTGATGGCAGATACTTATTCAAAGGTTGTATTTGCAACAGCCCAATCCGGAGAAAAGGCTAGTAATGTGATAAAGGCAGTTAAGTCAAACATGCTGATTCTTGGTGTCCTCTGGACCATAAAGACAGATAATGGGTCAGCGTATACGTCACAGGAATTTAATTCCTTCCTGAGGTCCTGGAACATACAGTCTGCCACAGGTATCCCATACAACCCATAGGGACAGGCAATCATTGAAAGAACTTATAGGACAATTAAAGATCTCTTACAAAGACAGGAAAACAATCATATGCCCCCAGACCCACAGATTGCTTTGTCTGAGGTCCTTTTCACTATCAATTTTCTTACTTTTGATTCCTAAGGGGTCAGCCCAGCTTATAAACACTGGGGATGCTTTCCATCCCAGACCCCGACCCCTATGGTTAGGTGGAAAGACCCCTTTGACAGGAGAATGGAAGGGACCACACACTCTGCTAACCAAGGGCTGAGGATATGCTTGTGTCTTTCCAGAGAATGTGGGACAGCCCATTTGGGTACCAGCCAGAAACATCAAGTCTGCAACTGACAGTCAACCAGAACCAGCTGAAAAATACTGAGAGTCAGCATTGTTAGCAGAAGCACCTGCTACCTATTGTCAAGCTGCTGCTTTATCACCCTGCCCTGAGAAACTGCCCACAGCCACATTCACTATTGTTTTATACCTCACTAGCTCTGGTCAGCCACTCAAACAGCCCACAGCCTGCGTGCCATCATGCCATTCCTGATTACCATTGTTCCTCATTCCTACCCCCATCTGAGCAAGCACTCCTGTGGTCTCCCATTCTGAAGGCTGGTTAGTCAACGACGGGTAAGAGTCCCTGGGGGACAACCTAAGCCAGCCACGTATGGAGACCACATGGAAACAGGGTCAACAATGGTATGGCCAAGGATAACGCCTCGTGTTGCTCAAAAATAAATGAAAAGGGGGAAATGTGGTGGAATGAGAAGTCCATGCCAACATGGCTGCTGGCAAGCAAGCATCAGTTACTCAGAAATGGCTTCAAAACCCACCTGGCAATGGAGCCTGCCTGGCAACAGGCTGTGCCTGGTTAGGGCATAAACCGCCCCTTGACCAGATAGACTGCCTTGGGTATACAAGCTGCTGTACCAACTGAAATAAATGAGTCTGCGGGCTGCTTGCCTCTGGCCCGCTTTCACCGACTCCTGGTGTCTGTGTCGTGACTCAGTAAAGACCAGAATGAGAGACAACAAACCACTTCTTAGTGGGCTAACATTTTAGTAGCTATAAAAAAATCATGTCAAATTTCTCTTCTATTTTCTTTTAATAAATTGAATAGGTAATCTATTATATATATTTATTATTTTTATGGAACCCAAACTATTTTAATTTTATGAAAGTGGATCAAATGCCCAATTGAATGGATAACCAAATTATAGTTTTTTATTTTTTATTTCATTTTATTTTTTTATTTTTTGACAGGCAGAGTAGACAGTGAGAGAGAGAAAGACAGAGAAAAAGGTCTTCCTTTTGCCGTTGGTTCACCCTCCAATGGCTGCTGTGGCCGGCGTGCTGCGGCCGGTGCATTGCGCTGATCCGAAGCTAGGAGTCAGGTACTTATCCTGGTCTCCCATGCAGGTGCAGGGCCCAATGACTTGGGCCATCCTCCACTGCACTCCCTGGCCATAGCAGAGAGCTGGCCTGGAAGAGGGGCAACCGGGACAGAATCCGGCACCCCGACTGGGACTAGAACCTGGGGTGCTGGCACCACAGGTGGAGGATTAGCCTATTGAGCTGTGGCGCCGGCCCAAATTATAGTATTTTTATGCTACCACTTGGCAATAAAAATGAACAAAGCTATGACACATGAAACAAAGGTGAATCTCAAAAACATGTTGCTCTGTGAAAGAAACCAGTCACAGAGAGAGTGATTTTACATTCTTCCATTATGTGAAATTCTAGAACAGGCAAAACTAACACATAACTGAAAGATAGCAGATCAGTGGTGGCTGGAAGTTGGGGGTAGAATCTCTATAAACGGGCACAGAGTGATTTCTTTCTGGAGAGGTGGAAGTCTATAGCTTGACTGGAGTGGTCACATAAGTTATTTATGTTTGTTGAAACTCACCAAACTGTACATTTACAGTTGGTAAATGTTGTACAGTTGTACACCAAACTACATTTACAATGGGTATATGTTTTTAAATTAATGCCCAGGGATGGGCATTTGGTTTACCAGTTACATTGCCAGTTGAGATGCCTGTGTCCTGTATTGAAGGGCCAGGGTTCAATACTTGCTAGAGCAGCTAGAGCAGCTGCTGGGAGGCACTGGTGATGACTCACATTCTTGGATTCTGGACACCTACATGAGGTACCTAGATTGAGTTCTTGGATCCCAGCTTTGGCCTCAGCTCAGATTGGACCACTGTGGGCATTTAGGAAGTGAAAAAGCAGATGGGAGTTCTGTCTTTCAAACAAACAAAAAAACAGATAAATAAATTCAAAACCCAATACAGTTGATTTATAAAGGAAGATAAATAGGTCAGAAATATTTTAATTTTTCATACTGACACTCATGCTAAAAAAGTTAAGTGATTAAAATTAAAAATTCTCAGAATATCTTTTAATTCATAAAATTTAAAGGATAAACAGATAAACATCACACTGACAGATAATGAATTACTGTGGCTACAGTCCCCTTTTATTGGAAGAAATGAGGTAAGAGGGTAAAAAAGTTATGTTAGTTTTTATACCTGGTAGTCTGGTGATACTGGGTTTAGTAGTGGAAACTACACTAATCTCCCAATTATAGTCTCAAGACCTAAAAAACCACTACCTTCAAAATATTTAAAAATATTAGTTAGGGGCTGGTGCTGTGACATAAGCAGGTTAAGCTGCCACCTTTGATGCTAGTATCCTGTATAGGTGCCGGCTTAAGTTATAGCAGCTCTACTTTAGATCCAGCTCCCTGCTAATGCACCAGGGAAAGCAACATAAGATGATCCCTGTACCCACATGGGAGATCTGGTTAAAGCTCCTGGCTCCTGGATTTGGCCTGGCCCAGCCCCAGCTGTTGTGGCCATTTGGGAAGTGAACCAGTAGATGGAAGATCTCTCTCTCTCCCTCTCTCTCTGTAACTTTGCCTTTCAAATAAATAAAATAGATCTTTATTAACTACCAAGTTATTTATTAAATAATTTATTAACTAATAATATTTATTAACTACTAAGTTAATTAAAATCTTTAAAAAGGACATTAGTTGGGGCCAGTGCTATGGCATAGCAGGTAAAGCTATCACCTGCAGTGCTGGCATTCCATATGGGCACTAGTTCAAGTCCCAGCTGCTCCACTTCCAATCCAGCTTTCTGCTATGGCCTAGGAGAGCAGTGGAGGATGGCTCAAGTTCTTGGACCCCTGGACCCACATGGAAAACCCAGAAGAAGCTCCAGGCTCCTGACTTTGGATTGGCTCAGCTTTGGCCATTGTGGCCATTTGGGGAGTGAACCAGTGGATGGAAGACCTCTCTCTCTGCCTCTCTGTAATTCTGCCTTTCAAGCAAATAAATAAATAACTCTTGTAAAAAAGGACATTAATTAAGTGCCTATGTACATCCTATGTGAATGAATGTCTTTGAATTCCTTGCTGTATGTTGAACATGTCGAGTGTACTCCCACTGTAGCATCTTTCCTCCTGCGATGGCCTCTGCTTGGTGTGCCCTCCTCTCAGGAGCTCAGTCCTTCTCCCTTCAATATCATAGCCACTGTCCTCCCTCACCCGACTCTTTCTCTCATTCCTCTTCATGTGCTTTATTTTTCTTCATAGTGCCTATTACCATCTGATTTCTTAACTACCCTTTACCTTCCCTAAAAGAATGAAAGCTCTACCTGAGCAGAGTTAGTTTTGTTCGCTGCTGTATTCTTTGTGCCAAGAACAGTGACTAGCACAGGGTCGCCACTTGAATATTTGTTAGTGAATGAACGAATCCATGGGTGTGATGGTGGGATGAGGGAAAAAGGAGAGGAGCAGCAAAGTGTCAATACTCAACAGATTTCAGGGAGACAATTATCAACACAAGTACATTTCATCTGAGTTTAAGTGTATCTTAGTAATTGTCTTAAAAGTTATAGAAGGCCCAAGATCATCTGTTTAGAATGTGGACAATACAGCACCTACCCCATATTCTCTATGAAATGCTCAGCACAGTGCCTGGCACACAGTCAATGCTCAAAATCTGTTAGTCATTATTCAGTCTGAAGCCGTAATTGTGCACTGACTGAATTAAAAGAGACCGTCATTACCGGGAAGAGGGAAACATAAGAGAGAAAGGGGTTTGAAACAGAAAGTAAGACTTTTCCTTTCCTCCCTTGTTAAAACTGGGGACAATATTCAAGTCATATCAATGTTTACAAGTAAAATATAAGTTATTTAGTAAAATGGTTCATAGCTTACTTAGCTCTGTAACTGAAATAAATTATGCCCCCAACACAGCTTTCTTTAATGAATTTAATGGATGTTTTCTGCTTACCATTATTGATGCTTTTACAAATGTCTCCTATGCCTCCAGAATGATCTTTGTGCCAATGAGTCACTACGATTTCCTGGATTGCTGTGTTGAATTCTGTCAGAGCCTGCTTTAAACAGCTGATATATTCTGGAATTGCTGGTTCTCCAGTGTCAATAAGGATTCTCCTGAAAATTAAATAGAAGAGAATCACACAATTGGAACACAGCTAATATTGGCATAATTCTCACATCGACAGTTTACATTAAATTTAAGAAACTGCATACATGATTTTCCTTCCCACATGCTCAAAAATCAGCTATAAAAGGTTTCCAAAAAGTTCATGTAATATACATATTATGAAAAAGCATGCATAATTAAAGTATCTTTGCATCAAAATAAACTTACCTTTAAATTCCATTTTCCATGAACTTTTTGAAGTATCCTTGTATGTTATTTTAGCTTAACTATAGTAGCTGTGCCTTAAGGAAGGTGTTTGAAAAAGTTACAAATAAATCAAGACTAAATAATGAGTAATAACTGTAATCTTGAATGGCTACATAGCAATTAAACAGCATTGTTCCAAGGACCTTACATATTTTAACAATTGCATTGCTAACAACTGTTTAAGACAGATATTCCATTATAATATTCAGAAGTTAACTTGTCCAACTTGTCTGAAAATAAATGGCAGAATGAGCATTCAAACACAAGAATCCTGGTGCCAGAAACTGGTATGTATTCTACCAGTTCTGCCTTCTTGGTCTTTTAGGAGGCCCCCAAACGTTTCATAGATATGGAAATATTTGATAAAATAGCATTCCTAAAGAAACCATGTTACGCTGGCACTCTAACACATGAACATGAAGGCTGTAGGGGAAATATGGGAGTGACATCTGAGTTGCTTTTTTCTTAAGATTTTGTTTTTATTCAAATTTGAAAGAATGAGAGAGGTCCCAAATGGCCACAATAGCTGAGGCTGGGCCAGGCTGAAGCCAGGAGCCTGGAATTCCATCTGGGTTTTGCACGTGGGTGGCAGAGACCCAAGTAGCTGAGCCATCTTCTATTCCCCTCCCAGGTGCATTAGCAGGGAGCTGAAATGGAAGTGAAGCAGCCAGGACACAAATATGTGCTCTGATATGGGATGCTGATGTTTTAAGCAGCAGCTTAACTCACTTCGCTACAATGTTAACCCCTGCTTTCTTACTTTACTAGACAATCCTATTACATTTTTTTGCTTGCGGTTCCAAACCTGCTTTATACTTTGTTTGGCCTTCCTCGCTATTCTGAGGTGGCCTTTCTTTCTCCCGTTTTTTTGAACAAAGAAATTGCAGTGACATTTTCATCAAGAACCATTTTACTAACTTAAATTCATGCTGTTTGGGGATTCCAATTCAATCCCATCAAGGTGGCATGTGCCAATGCCATCTCACTACTCCAAGTGATCAATTTCAGTTCACAATTGATCATAATGAAAGGACTAAGAGTCAAAGGGAGCACATAAACAAGTCTAGTATCTGCTAACACCAACCGATAGAATAAATAAAGGGGAGAGTGATCCAACATGGGAAGTGAGATACTCAGCAGACTCATAGAATGGCGGATGTCCTAAATAGCACTCTGGCCTCAGAATCAGCCCTAAAGGCACTCGGATCTGGCTGAAAAGCCCATGAGAGTATTTCAGGCATGGAAAGCCAAGACACTCTGGCAAAAAGATCTCTGTGAGTGAGATCCCAGTGGAAAGAACAGGTCTTCAAAGAGGGAGGTGCCTTTCTCTGAAGGGAGGAGAGAACCTCCACTTTGACTATGACCGTGTCTAAACAAGATAAGAGTCGGAGAACTCAAGGGGCTTCCATAGCCTTGGAAACTCATAACTAGTGCATAGGGAGATTACTGATGCCATAAACAGGAGTGTCAATTGGTAAAGTCAACAACAGGAGTCACTGTGCACTTACTCCTCATGTAGGATCTCAGTCCTTAACGTGCTGTACACTGAGGCTTAATGCTATAACGAGTACTCAAACAGTATATTTCACTTTGTGTTTCTATGGGGGTGCAAACGACTGAAATCTTTACTTAATGTACACTAAACTGATCTTCTGTAGAAAAGGAAAAAGAAGAAATAAGGCAGAAATTTTCAATTTCCAATTCCCAACTTGACTCTCACTGAGATTAAACATGACAATAGGTCTGATCTGATTTCATCATCATTTTAAAAAAATCATCTATTATTTTTCACTTTATGTTTCTGTGTGGGAGCAAACTGTTGAAATACTTACTTAAGGTATACTAAGCTGATCTTCTGTATATTAAGATAATCGAAAATGAATCTTGATGTGAATGGAAGGGGAGAGGGAGTGGGAAAGGGGAGGGTTGTTGGTGGGAGGGACGGTATGGGGGGGGAAGCCATTGTAACCCATGAGTCGTACTTTGGAAATTTATATTCATTAAATAAAAGATAAAAAAAAAAAAAATTTTCATTAAAGATTAAAATAAAGAGAACATATGAAGGAAACAGAAAAGAAATATCTTTTAAAAACTTTAGTTGAAATGATGAAGTGAGGTTAGATTCATTTATTCAACAGGATTGTCTTCTAAACAGTATTTAAAAATGATGATATTATTCAATATGTAGCCTTAATTTTATGACTTTTCATATTTGGAAATCTATTACATATAATACAAAACAGAAATATAGTTTGAAGGCTCTCACATTGCTTTGTGAAATCTTTGTGGGATTAATTTAATGGAAATAAAAATGAGAATTAAATACCAAAAAAAAAAAAAAATAAATAAATAAATAAATTCATGCTGTTTGATAGTATCACCCATTTAGGTTGGAAGAGAGATCGGTTTTGATAAATTAATCAGTGTTTATAGATTGTGTAGTATGGGCCGTGCCTTTATTTGTTGCAGTAAGCAACACAAGAAACTCTGTTTACATTCCTGTGGAGATAATAAAAATAAACAAATACTAAAGGTACAGAAAACAGACAGCATTTCGCACAGCCTTACAGTGGAGTAGGGGCTTATAGTGGTGCAGTGGGATAAGTCCACACTTTCCACGTCTGCATCCCGTATTGGAACTCTGCTTCTGATCCAGCTCCCTGCTAATATGCCTGGGGAAAGCAGCAGCAGATAGTCCAAGTGCTTGGGTACCTGTCACCTTCGTGGGGGACCTGGATGGAGTTTCTGGCTCCTGGCCGTTGAGGCCATTTGGGGAGTGAACCGGCAGATGATCTCTTTCTCTGTATCTCGCACTGTCTCTGTTATATATTGGATGGTTTGTTTCCCTGATCCTATTCCCTGAGATGTACAGCCAATAAAAACAAACTGGCCTCTGACAGTGGAAGAGGGCAGTGGCCTTAGGGCCTGTGGCCTCCAACTGTATCCTGAGTTCTGCGGATTTACTTTAGAAGTACAGTGGTAAACTGTACTTTCTGGAGATGGAAGACCGGACGGTACACTGGTCCAAAGGGACACTAGTAGGTCTTGTTGGCAAGGAAGACATAAGAGATGGTTTAAACAACATTTATAAGGCATGATCAACAGGATAACAAAGATCACCAACAGTGGAGGAGGCAAGTTTGAGATGTTTGATTTAGGCCACAGTGAATTTTGATGGCATTCCTAGCCATTTTCTTGAGATTTTTCCCCATAGCAGTTTTTACCAGGTAACACATTATATATTTACATGTTTATTTCTTTATTGTCTGTCTCTCAAACTTTGACCAGCCTATGAATTTGAGCCCTAAAAGGGCAGGGACTTTATCTGTTTGGTTAAAGAAACTGCTGAATTTATTTCCATGTCTACAATACACTGTGCTGTACTTAGCACTGTATACATTTAGTCACATTAAATTAAAAATATAAAAATTATGGGGCCAGTGCTGTGGCGCAGCAGGTTAATACCCTGGCCTGAAGCGACGGCATCCCATTTGGCTGCCGGTTTGAGACCCATCTGCTCCACTTCCCATCCAGCTCTCTGCTATGGTCTGGGAAAGCAGTAGAAGATGGCCCAAGTCCTTGGGCCCTTGCACCTGCATGGGAGACCCGGAAGAAGCTCCTGGCTTTGTACTGGTGCAGCTCCAGCTGTTGCAGCCAATTGGGGAGTGAACCATCAGATAGAAGACCTCTCTCTCTCTCTCTCTGCCTCTCCTCTCTGTGTAACTCTTTCAAATAAAAATAAATAAATAAATCTTTAAAAACAAAACAAAATTATAATACTTCCAAATAATATTCTCTGGCCCACTATCCCAGATTTTGGGGTTATTTACTCTTGATTTAACACAATTCTTCATGCCCCATAATTTGCATCATCTAGACTGTTCTGGGAGTATTTTGGCCCTTTAAGAAGAAACCGCCCATGTTTATATCAACATTTTTCAAATTTCTTAAGCCACCATGGTCCCTTTTTATTATTTTTTAGTCCTTCCCTTCCCTTCTCCTTCCAAAGAAATGATTTGGAAACATGTTCCATCCACTGGTTCACTCCCCAATTGGCCTCAATGGCCAGAGCTACGCTGATCCAAAGCCAGGAGCCAGGAGCTTCTTCCAGGTCTCCCAAGTGGGTGCAGGGGCCCAAGGACTTGAGCCATCTTCTACTGCTTTCCTAGGCCATAGCAGAGAGCTGGATGGAAGTGGAGCAGCCGGGACTAGAACTAGGCGTCCATATAGGATGCTGGCACTGCAAGTGGTGGCTTTACCCGCTAGGCCACAGTGCCAGTCCCAGGACTGCATCAAAGAAAGATCTAGTGAAGAAGATGACTCTATAAGGGAATACTAGAAAGAGAACTAGAGATGTAAGAGGAGATGTGGAAACTGTGATGTTAGCAAACAAAAGAGCAAGTGGTCAATGGTGTAAAAAATACTGAAGTTCAAGTAACATAGGAATAGAAAAATGTCATTGGGTTTAGTAATATGGAATCTACCTATGGTCTTAGAACCATTTTGTAAAGTGGAACATGTGGATAACAAATTGGGAACATCTGATTTGGACTCAATTAATATTCATTTCTAACTTCCTTTTACTTTATGCAGTAAGGCAGCATCATTTGCACATTAATTTATTTTACTTCAATTATACAGACTCTTCAGTTCAACTATATATGGAAATAATTTCAATAATGTGAGTGATCTCCCTGGCTACCACACTCCATGCATTTATAGGAGTACAATTATTAAGTAGTATAGATAAGGGACCTTGAATCTGCTCACTCCTCAGTTTCAGGTCTGTTAAGTCTCTTTTAGCATAAGCGCTTTGCTATGTGGTAAGTGTGACTCTAGTGTTTAAAGACACAGTATGCATATTTCATACAACATGGCTTCTAAACACACACTAACTTCTTCGTATGGTTTTCAAACAGAAGCAGCCATCTGTTTCAATGCAGGGAGAAAAGCGGGTTGTGTTGAACTTACTCAGAGAGTACACTGATCTACAACATGGAATATTCTCCTATAACTTTACAGGGTGATTTTTGACCACACACAACTTTCATCTTAGAAACTGACGTGGGAACTTCTTTTACTAGGACACAATGAAAAGAGAATACCTATACACATACTAGGTTGAGAATTCCAGCCAAGGCGGACTATACCCTACAGGTTTGGTATTTTTTTTTTTTTTTTGACAGAGTTAGACAACGAGCGAGCGAGACAGAGAGAAAGGTTCTTCCTTCCGTTGGTTCACCCCCCAAATGGCCGCCACAGCTGGCACACTGCACCGATTCAAAGCCAGAAGCCAGGCACTTCCTCCTGGTCTCCCATGCAGGTGCAGGGCCCAAGCACTTGGGCCATCCTCCACTGCCTTCCCGGGCCACAGCAGAGAGCTGGCCTGGAAGAGGAGCAACTGGGACAGAATCTGGCGCCCCAACTGGGACTAGAACCTGGGGTACCGGCACCACAGGTGGAGGATTAGCCTAGTGAGCGGCGGTGCCAGCTGGTATTGTTTTCTGCTTAATTTTCTATCCTGCTAGATTCTGGAAGCAGCCTAAAAGTTCATGTACCTAACTGACCCTGCCTTATTTACTCTGTTCTTAACCTTTTGCCTACCTGGCATACAGAACTTTTACTCCGCTGCTTCTAAAATTATTTACTGGAAAAAGGTGAATATAGTTTATACTTCAAATGAAAACCCAGCAAATTACACTTACATTTGAGGTAATCAGCTATATTTTATTAGTTGTCACAGCCAGACTGCACCACTAAATTCACTGCTTAATAGGAACTACTGTCCCTTGGTGACCACGGGGGATTGGTTCCAGGAACCACTCCAGGTACCCCAATCCTCAGGTGCTCAAGTTCCTTATTGAGAATGGTGTAGTATTTGCATTTTATCTACACACAACCTCCCATAGACCTTAAATCACTTTAAACTATTTAAAATAACTAACGCTGTTACAACATAAATAGGTGTTGCACAGTATTGCTTCGGGAATTAATGACAAGAAAAAAAGGTCTGTGAATGTTCAGTACAGACACAACTTTTTTTCTGAATATTTTCCAACCATGCTTGGTTAAATCCAAGGATGTGGAACTTGCTCATATTGGGAACTCCACTCTGTATCTTTTAATTTTGGATCATCTAGTATACAGTTGTTGCTCAATACAAAGGATCCTCAGGTCCAGCACTGTGGCCTAGCAGATTAGGCCACCACTTACGATGCCGGCATCTTACATGGGTGCTGCTCCACTTCTGATCCAGCTCCTTGTTAATGGCCTGGGAAAGTACTGGAGGATGGCGCCAAGTCCTTGGGCTCCTGCACTCATATGGGAGACCCGGAAGAAGCTCCTGGCTTCGGCATGGGCCAGCCCAGGTGGTTGCAGCCATATGGGGAATTGAGCAGTGGATGGAAGATCTCTGTCTCTCCATCTCTCTAACTCTGCCTTTCAAGTAAATAGTCTGTGGAAAATGCTTATCATGAAAAAACTATGCATGAATTTTACAATTTCTTTCATCAAAATAAATCTTTTAATTCAATTTTTCTGGAATTTTTTTTCCAAAATGTGTTTATTTGAAAGGTTCAGAGAGGGAGACACATGCGTGTACACACACAGACACACACACACATACACAGATCTGGCTCACTCCCCAGATGGCCCCAGGAGCCAGAAACTTCTTTCAGGTCTCCCAATGAGTGCAGGGGCCCAAGCACTTGGGCCATCTTCCACTGCTTTCCCTGGTCATTAGCAGGAAACTGGATTGGAAGTGGAAGAGTCTGGACTCGAACCAGCCCCCACCTGGGGCCCAAGTACTTTGGCCATCTTCCACTGTTTCCCAGGCCAGTCGCAGTGAGCTGGAACCAAAGTGGAGCTGCCAGGACTCCAATTGGTGCCCATATGGGATGCCAGCATTATAAGCCCAGCTTAATTCTCTAGGCCACAACACCAGTCCTATCTGCAAACTTTTTGAGGTACCCTACTACTCTGCAGTGAAACATACCTCCCCACGTCTGCATAATTTAATGCAACTGAATAAAAGAAAAATATCTCCTTAGAAACAGAGATGTCTCCCCTCTTCAAAACAACCCAAACAAGGTCACATACAATTGAAACAAATCAGCAAAAAATTTGTTGACTACCGTCAGAGCCTCTGGTTTCAGGGCCTCAAGCAATCTGAAAGCAAGAAAAACCTGCCCTCTGCTGCTTAGTTAAGGAAATGCCCTCAGCACCTTGAACGGAGGCTGGGAAGGGAAGTTACACTCCAGGCAAAACACCAAGAAGCCAGTTAAGCAAGACATTGTTAACGCTTTCTGGAATGCTTAAGTCCAGGGGATCTTAAATTCTCAACAGTTTAAACATGGTTACTCCAGCACCAGACATCAAGCAAAGAAAACCGGGTTTCAAAAGCAGGAAGTGAAATTTTCCTTCTTTTTAGTGATTTCTAAGTTGCCATCCCGGTGGCAGTTACTTGGCGGCGGCGTCCCGGGAACTGGGCCTGGGCATCCAGTGGTTGGTTTGCCGGGCTGGCGCCAGGACGCCGGGCGCACGCCGCAGTGGCAGCTGCGGTTCTCGCAGGTGCTGCGAGCGGGTGTGTGTGTTGGGGGAAGAGGGGAGACGTTTACCTGGAGCCGGTCCCCACCAGGTAGGTGTTAGTGCCTTGCAGGGTCATGGGACCCGGGTTACAGCCCAACACGCGTACCACCCGGCTGGACAGCCGCTCAATGCGCTGCAGAGTGGCAGACATCTCCGCCACACCAAGCCCACCGGCACGTCGCCTACTCGGCAACCCGAGCGCCGAACAGGCCTGGCGGGCGGGCGGGCCGGCCGGGGCAGCGTTCACGCTACGCTGAGGAAGCCGAGAAGGCACAGATGGGCAGCTCAGCAGTGGGCGGGGCCAAGCGTCACGTGACGTCGCGCAAGTCGGAGGCGGGGATTCGGGCCGCGCGCTTGCGCCGACGGCGGCGGCGGCGGCGGGAGGGCGTTCGCTAGCGCGTGGCCTGAGGCGGCGGGGGGCTAGGCAGGGGTCTGGTGGTGTCAAAGATCCTGGTACCTCGCCAGGCGCTCCTTGCCAGGAGTTCATGCCAAGGCAGGCGAGTGCATCCGGGTGGATGAGAGACGTTTTTCAACCTGGGAAGTCCCGTGGTGGCGCACGGGGCAGGCAGGTGTGGTAGTTACTTAATGTGAGTACTAAGTCCCAGAAAAGCTTTCCTGTCAGGTTTTCAGGTGGCACCGGGCGTTTGCGTGTGAGGAGTAGCCTGGTTGGTTTTTTTATAGTAACCAAGACTAACTGATATTTACCAAGCACGGAGTGGCGTGCTAAGTGCCTTTCACACACACGATGAGGTAGGCACTATTTTCGTGTCCATTTTATAAATGGAAAATGGAGACTGGGAGACTTGCCCAGGTGACTGTGTCTTGTGCCTGTCTGCCTTGCACCAGCTCTGGCCTCTTGCGTGGGGAGATCAGGGCGCTTGCCTCTCCCTTCCCATGTGCCCAGCTGCCCAGAGAAACGGGCTGGTTTTGTGGAGTTTTATGACCAAGATGGACTTGTCTGTGTTGAGATTTTTTTTCTAATGGGCAAAATATTAACTAACCCAGTATTGACTATTGCTTCCCCTTTACAAAGTTAAGTTATAAGTTACCTGAAAGGAAACACAAAGATCCTGTGATCAAGCCCTTCTATTTATGACAATTATATGTCATAAATATAATATTTATATTTAAATATTATTTATATATATTTAAATATTATAATATTTAAATATTAATTATATTAAAATATAATAATTATAATACCTCAAAAACTATCCCAAAAGAGGTGTGTAATTTATCCACTATCCCAACCCATTCTTTTTTACACTTGATCTTAGCCAAAAGCGATAACCCACTCTTTTTTTTTTTTTTTAATTGTTTAGTTATTTGTGCACATGTTCCCATCCACTGGTTCACTCTTCAAATGCCTGCAATGGGCCCTGGGTTAGGGGTCACACCAGGAGCCTTGAACTTGATCCAGATCTCCTGTGTGAGTGGTGGAGATCCCAACTATTTGAGTCATCGTTGCTGCCTCCTAGGGTGCGCATCAGCAGAAAGCTGGAGTCGGGAGCAGAGCCAGAACTCCACCTCCCGAAACCAGGCTCTCCAATGAGTTCCGCCAGTGGGAGTCCTAAGTGCTAGGTCAGATGCCCACCCCCATCCTCCGTGTTTTTTCTTTTAAAAGAACTCTGCTGAAAGGGTATTTGGCACAGTGGTTAAGTTGCTTGGGGGGCCCCTGCCCCTTATTGGTGTGTCTGGTTAGAGTCCTCATTACTCTGCTTGTGATCCAGCTTCCTGCTAATACATGCTCCATGAGGCAGCAGATGATGGTTCAAGTACTTGTATCCTGCCACTCACCTGGGATACCTGGATTGAGTTCGGAGCTCCTGGCCTTGGCCTGGCCCAGCCCTGGCTACTGCCAGAATTTGAGGAGTGAACCATAGATGAAAGATCTCTCTCTCTTTCTCCCCCTCTGTCTCTTTCTCAAACAACAAAAACAACAACCTATCCCAAAAATCTGCTAGAAAAATCAATGAATGCTAGAGTGGTGGATGGAGCAGTAATTTCCAACTACAGAGCTTTTCCTGAGACTCTGGGTAGCTCCTCTCTCTTACCTCTTTGTTTTTGTTTTCCATTTTTAAATTAGAATTTGCCATCTGAATTTCATTTAATCCACTGCCAAGCCCTTCATTTGACAGATTAAAAAATGGGCCCAATAATAATTGAAAAATTAAATGACCTGCATAGGGTCACACAAAGAGACAATGGTAGAAGATCACAAAGAGGGTAGATAATGAACATGGTTCAGACAAACTGAAGTTGAGGTGACTGTGAGTAGCTCGGCAAAGAAATCTAAGGACAGTTGGATACGTGGGTTGAGATCAGAAAGGAGATCTAGGCTAGAGATGTAAAGCTTATCCTTTGTGAATATACTTAATGTGACTTGAAGTTTAAATTCCTCTCTAAGAAAAAAGTCCAGAGATTTTTAGATTATGTTCAGTTGCTCTATAATTTATTTCCTGCTTATCACGTGCAAAGTATTATTGTAGACATATTGGGGGAGATGTTAAAAATGAATAAGATGGTCTTTGCTTTCTACAGGGAGAAATACATGACCTTGTTTTAAAGCATTTGTGGGTAAATCCTAGAAAAAAAGTGTAGCTCAATTGATAGAATTTCAGGGAGAAAAAGGAGAATCATTTATTGAGAAGATCTGGGAAAGTTTACAAGTTTTGAATTTTAAGCTGATTTTTGAAGAATTAATTAAATTTCATCAGATAGATGGAGGTTATTCTAGAGACAGTAAATAACCTTGAGCAAAGGCTTGGAAATAGAAGAAATATAGTGTTCATTTTAATAATTGATAACAGCAATCTTAATTTTTTGGGGCATAGGATTTGAGAAGTTATATAGTATAAGCTGAAAAAATAGGTATGGTTAGGTTAATAATATTTTAAAAATTCTGTATCAAAGTATTTCAAATTCAAGAATTTCTTTCTTTCTGGTATTGCTTGTTATCTACTTGAATATGCTGTGAAGCAAATTATATGTCTTAATACTTAAACGACAAGTACAGAGAAAACATGGAACTTTGTCAGCTTGTAGAAGGAGCGATATTATTTCTTCCTCTCAATGAGATAACTATGAAGAGATGGACAGTGTTCACAATGATGCAGACTCTGATCATTTGATTAGAAAATGCCACATATGACTAACGTAATTTTAGTTTCATTTTTCTATTCGATCTTAAAGGTTTACGCGTTCTTTAATTGTTCTTGTTTTCAGTGAAGAATTAAAAGAATCACAAGATGATGATTTTCCAGAATTGACTTCTATTTGACAAGTAAGTCTGTATTTTGTGTGTGTTGAATTTGGTGGAAAAATGAAAATTTCCTAGGTTTTATTTCTTCAGATGTTTGCTTTATCATGTTCAGTGGGCAGAGTTTATGTATTTTGGCTAGCAGTCAGATATTCACTTAGCTTGGCTTTTGAATGAAATTGAATTGAAACTATGCTATTAAGTTAGTAAGTGTAGAAGTCCCCTGTGAAACCCAGTTTTGTTGGTGGCATTATTTCTGCTAAGGTGGTACTGGGGCATTGATGAATTGTGGAGATAGAAATGAACTACACACAAGTTATGCAACTATGTGATTATTGAAAGAACAGCAGGTGCTATTTCTGAAAATTGCTGTATTTGTTATCTTGCTATGTAGGTTTCCTTCCTTTTGGTATTATGTTCTGCCTGACTAAATTAGGACTGTGGACATTGCCATATCAGATTAATCTATTGAGTCAATGTAATTTCTGTTTCTTAGAAATTGTTCCTCCCATCTTGTAAAACTTGACTCAGAACTGCTGGTGTTTCCCTTATTCATGGCAGGTAAAGGACACTTTCTTTATGGGAACAGAGATTATGAAATGCGCACATGGAGTGCTTAGGTATCATATTGTAGGTTTCATGGTACCATAATTTAAAGAAATTATTTACATTTAAATATCAGTTTAAGTGAAACTGTAGTTCAAGTATTGCATTTTAGTCAGGTTTTACCCTTTTGGACATTATGTATCACATTCTGATCTGAGAAGAGTTGGAAAATAAGTTAAAGATTTTTGCTTAGAAAGCTCTTGTATCACCTGCTTTGCAATTTTAACTAAATTTGCTCCTCATCTGTAGAAAAGAATAATGCACTATGGTTTCAGTCTGTCTCAAAAGTGTAGAATGCTATGCTCATGTCATAGTCAATTATTAATGTTTTCTGTTTTTTCAATAGAATGTGTGATATTTTGTGATTATGACCCAAGCATTTGAGGCAAACACACTTTACTCAGTAGAGGTAACTCATCTAAATACTCAATATCTCTAAGTATTAGTTTTCAGGTCCATAAAATAGGGGCAATGATAAATCCCACGGGATTTGTGAGACGCTAGTATCATGATAAATAAAATAATATGTCCAGATACTTCCCTTGTAATCACTCAACAGTGGTAGCTACTATTATTATTATCTATTCTTCAATTATGTAGATTGCATTTTTTTATCCTAGATGTTAAAGCTCACAAAATTACATTTTTTTTTAGAATTGAATTGAAACTATGCTATTAAGTTAGTAAGTGTAGAAATTACACACGTGATTGGGTTACACATTAGACATATCCAGTATAACCATGGTAAGGAATCTCTGTAAATATTTATTTCTGGAGGACATACTTGAAATCTAGTTCATTGGACTTTTGAACTAGTACTACCTGGAAAATTTTTCCATTTCCTACCCACATGGCTAATTCCACTATGCAAATGCCACCTCCTCAGTGAGTCCTGGCCCTGGCCAATGTAATTAAAATTGTTGTCCATGATGTACCGCCTCTATTCCAACTCCTGGTCTCTTTACCATTCTCTGTATTCTCCATAGCATTTCTTATCTTATAATATGAAACTGAACTTACTCATTTATTGCTTTTATTGTCAGTTGACTACCTTTCTCTGCCAAGATGTAAGTGCCACAAGGGCAGGAATTTTTTTTTTTCTATTGTCACTTGGCGTATTCCAAGACCCTAAGTCAGCACATGGTAGTGTCTAAGTTAACATTTACTTAATTCAATGGAATCAAAGTTCTTGATATAATCTTATTCTTCTAAATTCTCGCTCTGTGTTGGGCTTTATGTCCTTCATTTTAAGATAAGAAATCTCCTACAAGGAAATTCATGACCTGAAAGATAGGAAAAATTCAGATTTTAAAATTATTTTTCTGGGGCCAGAATTGTGATACAGTTGGCAAAGCCATTGGTTGCAACATTGACATCCCATGTTGGAGTGCTGGTTTGAGTCTGGCTGCTCCATTTCCAATCCAGCTTCCTGCTAACATACCTGGGAAAGCAGCAAAAGATGGCCAAAGTATTTGGGCCCCTGCCACCCATGTGGAAGATCTGGATGGATTTCCTGGTGCCTGGCTTTAGCCTTGTACACAGCTGGCTGTTGTGGCCATTTTGGAAGTGAACCTGTAAATGGAAGGTCTTTCTCCCCTCTCTCTCCCTCTTCTCCTCTCTCTCTCTCTCTCTCTCTCTCTCTATCAAATGAATAAATTAGGTAAAAATAATTAAAGTGGATCCATTATGTACTGTGTAGATCCTAAATTAGATTTGAAAGTTAAATTGGAGCATATAATATATAACATTTAGCTCTGTTTCTGGTACATAGTTCCGACTAAACGTTAGGTTTTGTTAGTAGTGTGAACATTTTCTTCCTGTCATAATTCTTCTTAAATATCATTTACTATTGATTTTTTATTAAGAAATTGTATAATAACACATTAGTATAGGTATCTTGTAAAAATATGAAGTAGAGAGAGTAAATAACTGGAGTTGGATTTGCTTCTTACTCTCAACTCCTTCCTCTCTCCATATATAATTAAAACTCATAAATGTTGTGTTTGTCTTTCTAGCATTCTTTTTTTTTTCACTTAATACATCTTGGAGGTCATCTGAAATCTGTTCAGAGTTACTTAATTATTTATAAAGGTTTTTGAAGTGTATCCTTTAGTATGAGTGTATCATAATTTATTGAACTAGGCCTTTAAATTGCCATTTATGTAGTTTTCAGTTTTTGCTATCATAAAAAGGCTCTACAAAGTATATGTGTACACACACACACACACACACACACCACCATTTCCTGTAGCTAGATCTTTGGATAGAATTTCTGGATCAAAAATACATGAAGAACTTTCACTGCTGTTTTACTTTTGTTAAATACATGTTAGAAGCTTTGTGATATTCCATTTTATGAATCTACCTTTATTTACTTTACCATTTCCTTATGATGATACATTTAGGTGGTTTCCAGTGGTTTCCCACTATAAATAGTCCTGTCATAATTATCTTTGAGACTAGGCTATGTTTTTAAAACAAAAAATACTGGAGTCTGAGAGGAAATTGTCGACTAGTAAGTATATTTCTAAGACTTTACTTTCCCTTGACTGTAAGAACTGTATTTAGTGTTAATATCTTATTTTTTTTTTGAAGAAGTAGAGCTTTTATAAAATCATGTCTATGGGTTAATATTTTACTCAAGATTCTTAAAAATTTGTATACGTGTTTCATTTTAGGTGTTATCTGTAAAGAAGATCATTGTAAAACAGAAGATTGAACAAAGCCTTATAACTTTGAACCTGGATTACAGATTTATAAAAGAAAGTTAAAATTAGTCATTTTGATTTTGGTGTTCCAATTTCATAATATATACTTATCCAGATAGATTTAGGGAACAGAAATTAAGATTTGGTGCTATAACAAAGGATGCACTAATATTTGTTCTAGCATTCTTGTTTTCTTTTTGTGTGAGAGCAGAGAAGTAGATATATAAGAACTGAGCTGATACATAATGAAATACACTAAATGCAATTTTATTATGTCAGTTCTTGGCATAATAATCTATATAACTGATTTAATTGTAGACATCTGGGTATCTGTCAGATTTTTTCATGAAAAACAATATATTTTTGGTGTTTTAACATTAAGCTTTATGCTTTTTGGAACACTTGTGGTCCAGTGTTTTAGTTATTCTTGGTTCAAGGCTGATTTAAAGAAAACAGGTCAAGAAACTCAACCTTGTTTTCTTCTACTTCATTGCTTGCAAATGGGAGTTTTTACAAGGTGAGTGTACACTTTTGATCATTAACACTGCTTTTCTTTTATACAAACAGTAACTACCTTTCTATATCTGGATCATCAGATGTACAAAGGTCCTCTATTTGTGAGTAGCACAAAGGTTATTTGCCTGTTGCTATCAGTGCTTATTTGAGTCATTGCTGTATAGTCAGAATTTTCCAGGTTCATCACTAGAGTGTTTTAATTTACCTACTTAATTTACTTTTTCTGATGTGTACTTCCTTTTTTGATAAGGAAAAAGGCTTACTTCTAACTTGTGAGATTTTTATCTAAGTTTTATTATAATAAGGCTGCATATCGCCTATTACTTGCAAGTCTGAGAGCGTACTAATTTTTTAAAGATACTCATACTACTGTTTAAACTAAATGAAAATTAGCTAGTATAGTCATAGACAGAACTAAAAACCTTACTAATCATGTTGTCTAAGACCTTATTTTATAGTTGAAGAAACCAGAATCTATATAGGCCCTAAGAATTCTATGGTTCTCTAATTTTGTATGACTTTTAAATTATGCAATATATATGTTAAAAGCAAAGAGAAGTATTAAAGAAAACAAAAGAGGGTAAAATAATTTTTTTAGTTAGATTTTTGATTTGGGATATTTTAATAGATAACATAGAGGTCAATATTTAATTTGATCCTGAGCAACAAGTTCATGGCCACTAGGTGAAAAGTTTTTTTTTCTTTTTAAATTTTAAGCTTTTCTTGTAGTCTTTAATAGTAATAATAAACATGGATAACATTAGTGTGGCGATACGTAGTTTTCAAAGTATTTTCATATAATTTGAATCTTTTTAAAGCTAGAGTTGTTAAGGTTAAAATATATAAGAAACAAAATATAAATGAGAAAAAAGTGTACTGGTTTTAGAGACACTGGAAAGAAAGTACTTTGGCTGCTAGTATTTGAGTTTTGGAACTTTACTTTCTCAGTAAGATAAAAACATTTAAAGGAATTGAGTAAAAGAATTGATAAGTAAATAAATGTGTAACAAGTAAGATTTGATGAGTTTTCTGTGTGAGCAATATTGAGAATTATATAGTTATACTATCTTAAGGATAAAATTACTTTTATTGAGAATTTAGAAATATGATAAATATTATGTTATTTGCCATTTTATTGCATTTGCTTCTTACTCCCAACTCCTTTCCCTCTCCATATATAATTAAAACCCATAAATATTATATTCACATCTACAGAATTATTTTCCTTGGTATTTCAACTGATAACTTCAAGGTCCTGAAGGTTGTGTTATAAACTATAAATGGTATTATAGAAGAAAACCAAATTATTTTACATTTTAGCATCTCTTGATGTGCGTAGTAAGTTTTGGCTGTCAGGCATTGTAAATAAAAATTACAGAGCTTCTGGATGATATTATTTTCCTTTTTCTCTACCAGGCATTTTTAATAAGGACTGTGTACTTTTGGTTTCCTCTGTTGCTAGGATGTAGCCTTCAGAGCACTGAGAGCCTTGTGTGGTCATTCTTACCCTGACAGGTCCTAAATACTAGGTCTTATTTCCTTAGTACTACAAGACTTCAAGAAACTCTGCTTTGATTTTCCAAAACATTCTGCTTAGCTGTAAATCTCTATCCTCTGCATGTAGTTTCAAAATCTGGCAAACATTCAGGGGAAATAATGGCTGAGTTTGAGATCCATCAGTCTGCAATCCTCCCAGACCTCTAAAACCTATGCTAATTTCTATTTTTTTTAATATTTATTTTATTTATTTGAAAGACAGAGTTACAGAGAGAGGTAGAGACAGAGAGAGAGGTCTTCCATCTGCTAGTTCACTCCCCAGATAACCGCAATGGCTGGAGCTGGGCTGATCTGAAGCCAGGAGCCAGGAGCTTCTTCCAGTCTCCCACGTGGGTGCAGGGACCCAAGGACTTGGGCCATCTTCTACTGCTTTCCCAGGCCATGGACAGCACAGTAGAGATTGCTAAACAAAGTAACTCCCTGTACCCAAAGCTTCCATGCTGTATGTAACTCTTTTTTCCTGCTGATATAGCCCTTTTTTCCCTTTAAAAACTCTCCTTAACAAAGACTGAGGCCTCACTCCTTTCTCTGCTGTGCTGGTTGGTTGGATGGGGTCCCTGTCGCGGCTTGTACTCTCGAATAAACCTTGCTTTTGCAGTTCGGTGTGATCGACTCTCTGGGGGTCTCTGCGGGGATCTAATGATCTGGGCACAACACAGAGAGCCGGATCGGAAGAGGAGCAGCCAGGACTAGAACCAGTGCCCATATGGGATGCCGGCGCTTTAGGCCAGGGCTTTAACCTGCTGAGCCACAGTGCTGGCCCCTGCTAATTTCTGTTTTCTAACAAGAGTTCTTTGCCTGGGAAAAATCCAGATTTTCCACCTCTTGTCCTGAGTAACAGAATCAATAGTGTGTGTGTGTGTGTGTGTGTGTGTGTGTGTGTGTGTGTGTGTGTGTGAGAGAGAGAGAGAGAGAGAGAGAGAGAGAGAATGAGAGAGAGAGACAGAAAGAGAACAAGAGAGAAAATATGAGTTCCTATTTGTTGATTCACTCCCCAAACGCCCCTAGTAGCTGGGACTGGGTCAGGACTAAAGCTGATGGCTAGGAATACAATCCAGATCTCCTGTGTGGGTGGTGGAAACTCAGTTGAGCCATTACTGCTGTCTTTCAGGGTCTGCGTTGGTAGGAAGCTGGAGTTAGGATCTGGAGCCAGGACTTTAACCAGGCACTGTGATGTGAGACATGGGTGGTATAACTACCAGGCTGAAATTCTGCTGCAGGGTTTCTAAGTTTTTACTTTTTTTGACTCTTGGTGGTATATTCTGTTTAATTTTTCACAACTGTCATTTCATAAGCATTTTCTTTCACCTGTGGTCAAGATGTTAACGGTTCACTCTCTAAGTTTTAAATTTAGATTATTATGCTTTATTTTCAGAAGTCTCTATTTGGTTCTTTTCAAGTCTACAGTTTTACTTTTTATAGCTTCCTGTGCCCTGCAGACATCTTTATATTTGTCATTTATATCTTTAAACATGTAAATCATTAAGCATGTTTTATTTATAATTCCAATACCTGAAGCTTTTTCAGGTTTGTTACTACTGGCTCTGCTTTCATTGTGTGTGCTTATAATGTCTTCTTTTCATATGTGCTTGGTAACAATGATTGTGTTCTGGTTATTACATTTGAAAAATTATTTGTGAAACCTTCACCAACCCCTCTCTCAGTTTTAAGTATGTTCCAGGGAGTTGCCTGGAGATTCTTTCAGGTGGATTCTCTTTTTAAGAGAGAGACAGAGAGACAGAGAGAGAGGTCTTCCATTCTCCCCAAATGGCTGTGATGGCCAGAGCTGAGCCAATCCGAAGCCAGGAACCAGGAGCTTCTTCCTGGTCTCCCACACAGGTGCAGGGGCCCAACGTCTTGGGCCATCTTCTACTGCTTTCCCAGGCTGTAGTAGAGAGCTGGATCGGAAGTAGAGCAGCTGGGATTAGAACTGGTGCCCACATTGGGTGCTGGCACTGCAAGCAGTGGCTTTACCTGCTATGCCACAGTGCTGGCCTCTCAGATGGATTCTACATTTAACTTCATGACTTGAAGTTCCCTGGCCCACACAGGTTATACATTCCAGAGATGCAAAGCTGTTCAAGGAGTCTGTGTCAGCAATATTTCTAACTAATTTTTGAACACATGAGCTTTATTAACATATAATAAAATATACAGATCTATAAGTAAACAGTTCTAAATGATATCTTAGTATAGTATTATCTTCTAATCTACTAATAAGGTTTACTCTCATTTCTTTAGACTTTAATTTCCTTCAGTAGTGTTTTTGTTTTATTATAATTTTCTGTATTTCATTTTTTGATAATATAAATTGAATTTAATTTTAGTCTCTAAATGTTTATTGGAGAAAATAGAATTTGTTTTATAGATATTGATCTTTTATTCTATTACTTTATTTTAACTTATTCTATTAACTTTTTTTGTGTACTCTTTAGGATTTTTCTGTAGCCAATCATGTCATTTATAGATAATTAAACCATACTGTATTGATTACTATAGCTTTATTACATATATCTTGAAGTCATATATTCTGTTTTTCTTCCATTTTTAAATAGACTTTATCTTTTAGAGCAGTTTTAGATTCAGAGAAAAACTAAGCAGAACAAAATGCCTGTATACCATTTATCCCCACACAATGCACAGGGTCCCCTACTGTAAACATCCTCCATCAGTTAGAACTGATGAATGTAAATTGACACATCATTGTTAACACATCATTATCACTTAAAGTCTGTAGTTTACAGTAGGCTTCATTCTTTGTGTTGTCCTTTCTTATGGGTTTTGACAAATGTGTAATGACATGTATCTACCATTATAGCATCACACAGAATAACTCACTGCCCTGAAAATCCTCTGGACTCCACCTATTCATTCTCCCCTCCTTGCTAACTCCTGATACAACTGACTTAAAGTCTCTCATAGTTTTGCCTTTTCAAAATATCATGTAATTGGAAGCATATAGATTATAGTCTTTTTAGTTTGGTTTCTTTCTCTTAGTAATATGCATTTGAAGTTCTTCCATATATTTTCATGTCTTGATAACTCATTTCTTTTTTTGCTGAATTCCATTTTCTGCATGCATCAAAGTTTAGTTACTGAAGGACATCTTGGTTGCTTCTAAATTTTGGCAATTATGAATAAAGCTGCTATAAATTTCTTATGCAAGTTTTTGTGTGGACCTAAGTCTTCAATCGTTTGAGTATATACCGAGGAGCATGATTGCTGTATCATGTGCTAGGAGTAGATTTAGGTTTATAATACACTGCCAAAGTATCATCTGAAGTGGCTATATTGCATTACCTCAGCAAAGAATGAGAGTTCCTATTGTTCCACGTCCGGGTCAACATTTAGTGTTGGCAATGTTCTAGATTTTGATCATTCTAATGGGTACGTGGTAGTATCTTGTTGTAATTTATATTTACTTAATGATATGATGTGCATATT